TATTCTTAAACAGCACACACATCTAGAAGAAAATGTATTCTTACATCCTTAATCTGAAAAACACACAATCTCTTGTCTATAAGAGGGGTCCTGGTTTCTCTTATTAATGCAAAGTAAACTTGGAAAAGTCATTTAACTGTGTGTTTCTCTGTAAACCAATTAACACATTAAGCTTTTTAAAGCTTAACACATAAAGATTTTTAAAAAGAATATTACATTTGAAATTCATTTATGTCTTTTTGAAAGAATAAGCCTAATGTGTAACATGTTATACCCCAGAGTTTTTCCAACCACATCAGCCTCAATGACACAGTTGTATCTTAGTATGTTCTCCGTAAAGCTCATGTTTAGACCTGACAGAGGCACTTATGTGAAGAACGGACCATTTGACATGCTACTTGTGGAACAGTATATTAAAGAAGCCTGTTAACATGTAGTTTAAAACTCAAAAGAAACTCTGAACAGCTGAAATGCCTTATAAATAGCGCAGACCCAGAGGAAGTGCAAACGTCTGCATTGTGAATTGTAGATCTTAATTACCGACAATGGCTGGTACAGCAAGTAGCAGGAAAAAAAAGTGAAACAGTTGCACTGTTCATGGCTGGCAATAATTCTTCAGGAAAATATTTACTATCAATCAGTTATGAGAAAAGGGACTCTGTGCTCGTAAAACAGCACGTTGCTTCTCATACCAGGACTATTTTACTTCAGCATAATCTGAATTTAAACAGCTTGTTTCCTGCGGATATAATTTTGGAAATAAATAAAACAAGTCTTCTATCAAAATCTGGAGTGAGTGGAAAGGAACATCACATTTTTCTGTCTCAGTCAGTTTCAAACAGATTATTAGTCTCAAATAAAAAAACAGTGACAACAAACAACAAGAACTAAAACACATAACATCCACAAAGGACAACTGAAAGGTTTATTTTCCAGACATAAAGAGAAAAAACTTCTCTTATCTGAGCCAGGAATCTGAATAGATGGATTCAAACAATTCAATTTTAACTGTATGTGTTTGTATATCGGTTTGTGGGTGTGGGTAAGGGTGAATTAGGAAAAAACCTAAAATCAAATTTTGCAGTAATAGTTTAATAAAGTCAATAGCAAGATAACATAAAAAAGTAATGTTTTTTCAGCCTTCCAGTTAGTTTTCTTTACCAATTAAAAAACATCATGAAGGCTGACATTAACACACACAATGTGATTATGGATTTTAAAGACTAAGTTGACAGTTAATAATGACCGTCCATTTAAAGCTACAATAAACATAAAGCTCATCATGCTCTAAACACAAATCTCATGAAACACAGGGCCATAACCAGGAGAAAGAATTCTGAAAAAAATAAAAGGTATCTCAATGCCTCCAAATATTACTTGTATTAAGTTAGGGTCATAAAATAGACCCTCCTCCATTTTTATTTTTAAATCTTTTCTTAGACTTCTTTCTTCAAGTTAAAGATTCACAAGATTATTGTCAACCTAGGGTGGTTGCAATTTGTTTTACAGCTTTGTTTTCTTGTATTCTACTGAGGACTAATGGGCACCCTCTTTAAAGAGCTACTGTAAGACTGAGATGTTTCTGGCAAAAAGTCACATTCAAGGTACTACATACAGGGGTCCAAACATAATACCATTGCTGCTTTTAGGGAAATAACTGGTATTAATGTCTTCTCTAAAACTCATGTGAACCATATTCAATAATAAGGTTTTGGACTATAATTAGTATCCCTAGCCAAACCAAAGTCACTCTTTAAACTAGAGAACAAAAATGGTTGATATCACTGTATTATAGTTGTTTTTACATGAAAATGGTTACAGATTATGGCTACAGTGGAGTACAATCTGAATCAACAACAGACACTTGTACCAAATTGAGAAAACGCTGCAGCCATATCAATGTAGAGATGAAACTATTCAGTTAAGGGCTAAAGGTGAAGAACAGGAAATAGGTACAAGCTTGCAGACCAACAAAAATAATGATGAGTCATTCCATTCAAAGGTCAAGCAATAAATGAGGCCAACAGAAACAGGAATCATGACACGCACAAAACATATGTAAATAAAAAAGAAAAAACTTGGCTAGGCATGGTGACTAACGCCTGTAGTCCTAGTACTTTGAGAAGCCGAGGTGGGCAGATTACCTGAGGTCAGGAGTTTGAGATCAGCCTGGCCAGCATGGCAAAACCTTGTCTCTACTAAAAAATACAAAAATTAGCTGAGCGTGGTGGCACACATATGTAATCCCAGCTACTCAGGAGGCTGAGGCAAGAAAATGGCTTGAACCCAGGAGATGGAGGTTGTAGTGAGCTGAGATGGCATCACTGTACTCCAGCCTGGGTGACAGAGCAAGACTCCATCTCAAAAAAAAAAAAAGGGAAAATCCTTTTCACTATTCTCATGCTATGGGTACCTCACTGGAGACTGTTGCAAGAAAGAAAATTTTTCAGCTATGTGTTTTTATTTGACATTGACCAACTGATTATTTGGTTCCAATCCGAAGCAATGAACCGGAAGACAGGATATGGGCCAATGAAAGGAACCAGTGATTTAGCTGGGTTTCAGTAGGAAATGATAGATGTCATTATTAAATTAGATTATTTAAGAGGACAATGAAAGGATATGGGTGTCAGAATAATGTTAAAACAAGCAACAACGCAATGAGAGGGTCACCATCTGGGAGCAAGTGAAACAGACTGATGAGCAGCAATGAGCAAACTTATTTTCCCACCCAAGATCCTAGAGCATGGAAGAAATTACATCATTGTGCCCGATGCCAGAAGATTTTTAACCATGTACCACTAAAGGAGGGTGGGAGAAAAAAAAACAAACGAAAAAACTCCACATCATATAGACACACACCAACCTATTTAGATTAGAGATCCTGGCTTACAAAGTACGGGAGAAAACAAAAGGAACAGATGCTCACTTGGCCAGCTCTCAATGAAACTCATTAAAATCCCTGCCCTTGGATTGGTACTCATGCTAAAATTTTACTTTATTTAGCCAGAAGTCACCCACTTGTGATAAAACTGAGAGTAGCATGGCCAAAAAAAAAAAAAATTTTTTTTTAAAGGCCCAAATAACTGTGTACCCACTTCCATGCACAAAAGTAGGATATAAAGTAGACTTGGGCTGGGTTCAATGGCTCATGCCTATAATCCCAACTCTTTGGCAGGCCTAGGTGGGAGGAACACTTCAGGCTAGGAGTTCGAGACCAGCCTAAGCAATACAGTGACAACTCAACTCTACCAAAAAAATAAAAAAAAAAAAAAAAAACTAAAAAAACAAAAATTACCTGGGTGTGATGGCACACACCCCTGGTCTCAGCTACTCAGGAGGCTGAGGCAGGAAGATCAGGACTTGAGCCCAGGAGGCAAAGACTGCATTGAGCTAGGAGTGTGCCACTGAAATCTAGCCTGGCTAACAGAGCAAGATCCTTTACCTAACAAAATGAAACAAGACAAAATAAAATAAAATAAAATAAGGTCAATGGTTATATTTTGTGTGATGTATTTCCAGTTGATAGAGCAGGCTCACAGACTATTGCATGTTTTAAGGAAAAACAAAAAACTCTGCTTTTGCTATGGTGTGAATGTTTGTGTTCTCCCAAATTAATGAAGGCAGACCTCTTGTGAATGGTATTAGTGCCCTTAAAAAAGAGACCCCAGACAGCTAGTTAGTCTCTTCTATCATGTGAGGATGCAGTGAGAAGGCACCATCTATGAAGCAGAGAGCAAGCCCTCACCAGACACTGAATCTGCTGGTGCCCTAATCTTGGGGACTTCTCAGCCCCTATAAGAAAAAAATTAGTTTTGTTTATAAGCCACCCAGCTTACAGTGTTTATGTTATAGCAGTCCACATGGACTAAGACAACTGTCCTTGGATTTTTGTAGCAAAGGATAGCAACTACATGACACCAGTCCTGGCTCTAATAATAACTGCAAGGAAGTAAGGGCCTGGGTCTATAATAAAATAGGTTGAACTAAAATAGTTGAAGTTGAGAATGTTCTAACAGCAGCAAATCTATGAATAGATCTAAAGGCTGTATTTTTGTAGATAATTCAGTAAAAGAAACAGAGCCCATACTTAATAGTACTTACCCCTAAAATAAAATGTCTGACACTTGAATTTAAAGCATCAGATTTCTAATACTTAAGATTAATTTTACATGTAGGCTATGAAGATGACAATATATATACATGAAAAAGAGGTAGCCCATAGACATGACTAAACATAAGTGTTCATGTGGATCAAGATCACCAAAAACACTATTTCTAACATAGGCCACTCAATAAGTAATAATAGTGACATAATAATTGGGTTTTCTATAGCATATTTCACAATCTTGCAAGGATGTACTCTATACGTAACTGCATTTAAAAAACAAAACTTATCAAAACAATTGTGCATTCTTTTTTTTTTTGAGACGGAGTTTTGCTCTTGTTTCCCAGGCTGGAGTGCAATGGCGCAATCTCGGCTCACCGCAACCTCCACTTGCTGGGTTCAGGCAATTCTCCTGCCTCAGCCTCCCGAGTAGCTGGGACTACAGGCACGCGCCACCATGCCCAGCCAATTTTTTGTATCTTTAGTAGAGACGGGTTTCACCATGTTGACCAGGATGGTCTCGATCTCTTGACCTCGTGATCCACCCGCCTCAGCCTCCCAAAGTGCTGGGATTACAGGCTTGAGCCACTGCGCCCGGCCCAATTGTGCATTCTTATACAAATTTTACTGATATGTGATAAGCTACTAGTGTCAAGAAACAAATGTGAAATCAGTCTAAAGTGTGACCAGAATTCATGATCAAAAGCTGCAATTAAGAAGCGGAGAATCTAATTTGCAGTCTGTTCTAGAAAAAATGATGCCTGTTTGTTTATTTTTTTCTTGAATATATAATCCTGTAACAGTCCTTAAGCAATACCCTGAGTAAAGATGTCTACAGATACAGCACTGTTATGGTGTGTTACAATATACACTGATGAGTAATATTACTTACTTTGGCCACACAATTCTCAGTCTTCATAGCAGTGCTTGCTAAACATACTGTTTCTTGGTTTAAGCAGAGTCTGGCACAGCTATTGTACGTCTGTAAAGAGAATTTGTTGGAAACAGGTTTTTAAAATATTGCAATACTGCCATATACTGTTTTCAAATTCTACTCTATTTCTCAAAGTCAAAACACAAATAGATTCTATCTATAAATTAAGACTTATGGAAACTGAGAGGTAAGTTAGAAAAGGGGGAGGGCAAAGATAGAGCCCACAAAAGCTACTGATGTGCCCATGAATAAGTATGTGAGTGGCAGTGCCTTCAATGTATTAATGATTAATGAAAAGTGAGGGTACTGGTTATGTAGCATTTTAAAATGCAAATTTGAAGGGTTTAGTTCTGTTTAAAACAGCAGTTACTGTTCTGAGAAAATATTTATTTTTGTTGTTTTTCCTTCTAAACTGTCAAAACCATCAAGATCTGAAAGTATTCAGAGGACATGATTTTTTCCCCCCTTAAGTCGGAGTCTTGCTCTGTTGCTCAGGCTGGAGTACATTGGCATGATCTCAGTTCACTTGGTTCAGGCGATTCTCCTGCCTTAGCCTCCCGCAGACAACACATTTGTTTTCCTTTTCTTTTTCTTTTCCTTCCCTTTCCCTTTCCTTTCTTTTTAGAGATAGTGAGCCAAGATCTCACCACTGTATTTCCTTTGTTCACCCCAGCTGGAAGTACAGTGGTGAGAGCTTGGCTCATTGCAATCTATGCCTCCAGGATTCAAGCAATCCCTCTGGAGTAGGCGAGGGACTACAGGTGCACACTACCATGCCCGGCTAATTTTTTGCAGAGACAGGGTTTTGCCAATTTACCCAGGCTGGTCTTGAACTCCTGAGGTCAAGTGATCCTCCTGTCTCAACCTTCTAATGTGCTGGGATTACAGGGATGAGCCACTGTGCTCAGCTGACATGTTTCTTATCCAGAATAATAAATAAAAAAACTTCAAACTATTCAGAAAAAAATGATTTTAAAACCAATCATGAAATACTTTTAAAAGAATCTCACTACAAGCTTTGACTTTTGGCTTTAAAAATAAAAAATAAATAAATCAAAATTGGAAGAACACTGAAAAAAGATAAATCAACATTTACCAAGTTGTTTTTCTTTTTTGAGACAAAGTCTTGCTCTGTTGCTGAGACTGCAGTGCAGTGGCACGACCTCAGCTCACTACAACCTCTGTCTCCTGGGTTCAAGCAATTCTCCTGCCTCAGCCTCCCAAGTACCTAGTCTTAAAGGTGCCTGCCACCGTGCCCCTCTAATTTTATCTTATTTTATTTTTTGTATTTTTAGTAGAAACAGGGTTTCACCATGTTGGCCAGGCTGGTCTTGAACTCCTGACTGCAGGGGATCCACCTGCCTCAGCCTCCCAAAGTGCTGGGATTACAGGCGTAAGCCACCACATCAGGCCTATCTAGATCTTAAGTCATCCCTTAACAAATCTGACAAAAACAAGCAATGGGGAAAGAATTCCCTGTTTAATAAATGGTGTTAGGAAAACTGGTTAGCTATGTGCAGAAAGCAGAAACTGGACCCCTTCCTGACACCTTACACTAAAATTAACTCCAGATGGATTAAAGACTTAAAAATAAGACCTGACACCATAAAAACCCTAGAAGAAAATCTAGGCAAAACCATTCAGGACATAGGAGTAGGCAAGGACTTCATGGCCAAAACACCAAAAGCATTGGCAACAAAAGCCAAAATAGACAAATGGGACCTAATCAAACTCCACAGCTTCTGTATGGCAAAAGAAACAGTCACGAGAGTGAAGTAGCAACCAACAGAATAGGAAAAAAAATTTTGCAGTCTACCCATCTGACAAAGGGCTGATATCCAGAATTTACAAAGAATTACAACAGATTTACAAGAAAAAAACAAACAAGCCCATTCAAAAGTGGGCAAACGATATGAACAGACACTTTACAAAAGAAGGCATACATGAGGCCAAGAAACATGAAAAAATGCTCATCATCACTGGTCATTAGAGAAATGCAAATCAAAACTACATTGAGATGCCATCTCACACCAGTTAGAATGGCGATCATTAAAAAATCTGGAGACAACAGATGCTGGAGAGGATGTGGAGAAATAGGAACACTTTTACACTGTTGGTGGAAGTGTAAATTAGTTCAACCATTATGGAAGACAGTGTGGCGATTCCTCAAGGACCTAGAAATAGAAATTCCATTTGACCCAGCAATCCCATTACTGGGTATATATCCAAAGGATTATAAATTGTTCTACTATAAGGACACATGCACATTGCATGTGTTCATTGAAGCACTGTTTACAATAGCAAAGACCTGGAACCAACCCGAATGCCCATCGATGATAGACTGGACAGGGAAAATGTGGCACATACATACCATGGAATATTATGCAGCCATAAAAAACGATGAGTTGATGTCCTTTGTAGGGACATGGATGAACCTGGAGACCATCATTCTCAGCAAACTGACACAAGAACAGAAAATGAAATACCACATGTTCTCACTCATAGGTGGGTGATGAACAATGAGAACACATGGACACAGGGAGGGGAGCACTACACACTGGGGTCTATTAGGGGGAATAGGGGAGGGACAGCCAGGGGGGAGCTGGGGAGGGATAGCATGGGGAGAAATGCCAGATGTGGGTGAAAGGGAGGAAGGCAGCAAATCACACTGCCACGTGTGTACCTATGCAACTATCTTGCATGTTCTTCACATGTACCCCAAAACCTAAAATGCAATTAAAAAAAAGTCATCCCTTAAGCACCTATGGTAATATTCAGGAGATAAAGTAGAAAAATCAGGCCGAGTGTGGTGGCTCACGCCTATAATCCTAACACTTTGGGAAGCCGTGGTGGGCAGATCGCCTGAGCTCAGGAGTTTGAGGCTACCCTGGCCAACATGGTGAAACCCTGTCTCTACTAAAATACAAAAAATTAGCCAAGCATGGTGGTGGGTGCCTGTGTTCCTAGCTACTCAAGACGCTGAGGCACGAGAATTGCTTGAGCCCAGGAGAACTGAGGTCGCACCACTGTACTTCAGCCTGGGCAATAAGCAAGACACTATCTCCAAATAAAAAAGAAAGAAAAATAATAGGAAATGGATTTAAAAATTGGTGGTGGCTGGGCACAGTGGCTCACACCTGTGATTCCAAGACTTTGGGAGGCTGAGGCAGGGGAATCATTTGAGCCTACGAATTCGAGATCAGCCTGGGCAACATAGCGAGGCCCTGTCTCTACAAAAACCAAATAAAACATTGGTAATACTATAATTATACTTTATGAAAAGCAAACTTACTAGTAGTTACTGGACAATATATTAAGAGAAATGTTTCCTTTTAGTCTTAAGTTTTTATTGATGTCATAAATCATGTTTATCAAACTTTAGTGTGTATCAGAATAATCTGGAAGGAGTGCTTGTTAAAACACAGATCACAGCAGGGCCCGGTGGCTAACACTTGTAATCCCAGCACTTTGGGAGGCCAAGATGGGAGGATCACTTGAGGTCAGAAGTTTGAGACCAGCCTGCCTGGACAGCATGGTGAAACCCCATCCCTACTAAAAATAAATAAATAATAAATAAATAAATAAAAATTAGCCAGGCATGGTGGCAGGTACCAGTAATGCCAGCTACTTGGGAGGCTGAGGCAGAAAAATCATTTGAACCTGGGAGGCAGAGGCTACAGTGAGCCAAGATCGTGTCACTGCACTCCAGCATGGACAACAGAACAAGGCTCCACCTCAAAATAAAACAACAACAAGAAACACAGATTGCTACATTCCATCTCTAGCGCTTCTGAACATTTGCATTTTTAACAAGGTCCCAACTGATGTCAGTGCCGCTGATCTAGGAACAAACACTGTTTGAGAACCACTGCTGTAAGCATTTATGTTGGATTTAAGAAGAAAAATCTTAAGACACAATCTTAAAACCAACAGTAAGAAAGAATTCAATTTTTTAATATTTTGAAATAATTTTAGAGAACAAGTAAAAAAATAGTAAAGGTCATGCACAGTGGCTCATGAGCACTTTGTAGGGTAGAGGCAGGAGGATTACTTGAAGCCAGGAGCTCCATACAAGCCTGCATTTCTATAAAAACAAAAACAAAAAGAAACAAATTAACTGGGCATAGTGGCAGAGGCCTATAGTCCTTGCTACTCGGGAGGATTGATTGAGCCCAGGAGTTGAGGACTACAGGGAGCTATGATGGTGTCACTGCACTCCAGCCTGGGCAACAAATCAAGACATCATCTTTTTTATTTTTTTTTTGAAATGGAATCTCACTCTGTTGCTCAGGCTGGAATGCAATGGTGTGATCTCTGCTCACTGCAACCTCTGCTCCTGGGTTCAAGCAATTCTCCTGGCCAGTTTCCCAAGTAGCTGGGATTACAGGCACCCGCCACCACACCCGGCTATTTTGTTTTGTATTTTTGGTAGAGACGGGATTTCTCCATGCTGTTCAGGGTGTTCTCAAACTCCCGACCTCAGGTGATCCGCCCGCCTTGGCCTCCCAAAGTGCTGGGATTAGAGGTGTGAGCTACGGAGCCTGACCCTTTTTCTTTTTTTTAAAGAGATGGTGTCTTGGCCAGGTTCGTTGGCTCATACCTGTAATCCCAGCACTTTGGGAAGCCAAGGTGGGTGGATCACCTGAGGTCGGGAGTTTGAGACCACCCTGAACAGAATGGAGAAACCCCGTCTCTACCAAAAATACAAAAAACTTACCTGGGAGTGGTGGCAGGTGCCTGTAATCCCAGTTATTTGGGAGGCTAAGGCAGGAGAATTGCTTGAACCCGGGAGGTAGAGATTGCGGTAAGCCAAGATTGTGCCATTGCACTCCAGGCAGGACAACAAGAGCAAACTCCATCTCAAAAACCAAACACACACACACACACACACACACACACCCCAAAAAAAAGAAAGAAAAAGATTTCCTATATGCTCGTCACCTAGCTTCTCCATATGTTAATGTCTTACATAATCACAGAACATTTACCAAAACTAAGAAATTAACTTGGTACTATATAAAGTACAGAACTTATTCAGGTTTCACCAG